GGGAGGAGTACAGGAAATATGGATATTTTGGGGAAGGTGGGTTGAGGAGAGTAGCATAAAAAATTATTTTCCTAAAAATATTTTATACTCTCTAACCAAAAACTAGAAAATATTTTCCGGAAAAAGTTTTCACCTACCAAACAAGAAAAAATAAGTGATAAAACCACCTGTTTTCTAGGAAAACATTCACCTTGATACCAAACACACCCTAAGAATATAAACTTTACAACTCAGTTGGACAAAATAGACCCCTCAAGATTTTTTTTTAAAAAAAGGTACTCATTTCATAACAATTTGGACTCCACTTTTTTTTAAAAAAATAATGGGGATATCTAGACTGGTCATGGTTATTAGGAAGCCGAACATTAATGGGTTTTTTTATTTGAATTCAGGGAGGTAGTGGTTGGGCACTTTTGATTAGCACGATTTGTTATATTGAGAAGTACAGTACTCTAAAAAGAAATATGTTTTAGCTCAAAATGCTCCTTATTCCTATCTGGCCTAAACCAACGAGCTGACAATAAGTATAAATTACTATTTGTTGGTATTAAGGTAAACTCTTTTTTAGGGTTAATTATCTTCTATTATGAATGGAGAATAAGTGATTGAAGTGGGGTCTCTTGTGCCCGAAAACCTGCAAATGGCAACTGATACTCATCAAATCATACGATGTTTGTCTAAATAAATTATTGCTCTCCCATTCTGTAGTTATTATTTTGCAATTATCCAGAGCACGTAGGTCTTTCATAAATCTGCTAGTTGACATCCAATTATTACGCATTTTTCCCACTTTTTGATGATCACGCGTATTACACAATCCTCCTAATTTTTCATGTAGCAAGTTTCTATGTTTTATTGAACTTTACTTTTACATTTACATTCATAAGAAAACGGTCTATGCACATGGAAATTGGCACGATTCGCGTGTTATGGAGTGTAACAATATCAACCCGGTAAAATTTTATAAGTGAGATCTGAGGAGTATATATAGTGTGTACACAGACCTTAGTAGAGAGACTATTTTCAATAGACCATCGTGTGTTATGCAGTGCATGTTTCTTTATTTTATATTATAAAGAACTTAAATATATTCCTTAGAAAACATCCAATAAAAAAATTAATTAATTAAGTAGAATATACCAAAGTCATACAAATATGCACACCAAAAGAATTGTATTTAATAGCATTCCTAATATGCATTGAAATACAACAATTGACAAATTTGACACAAACTTTACTCCAATAATGCTTGTGCAATGCTCAACATTTCATCAATATTTAACGTTTCCACAACCTCTATTGCAATGGAAAAAGATATATCGAACACATATATCATGACTATTTAACGAAGGAAGTTACAAAATCAGCCCAAAACGGTATAAATGAAGCAAACCAATCGACCAAATTTTCTTCTTCCACATCGTATAAACATTTTTACAATCTTCTTGTTCATCATCAAATTAAAATGCTAATAGTGCGTATTACCACTTTATTTTCATTATTTGTTTTGGTGAAAAGATAAAAACCCTATACTATAATTTTTAACGTATTATGATAACTTAATTTTCTTTTGTCGGCTTTAATTTGTTGACAAAGAAATCGTTATATATACTCAATAAACAACGAAAAGTAGGATAACGAAATTCCTATCTTTGTTTCTATTAAAAGCCCAGCACGTACATTTTCAATATAACTATATTCTTGAATTAGGTATAAGGTTAGTTAGTTACGTTGGTGGCTATTGGAGGAAGCAGCCATTTAACTATTGCATTTTCTTTACTACTCCATTTATTTATTGACATGAAAGGACGCGGACAACTTGCAATCTTAGTGGAAAGACCTGCTTCAATACTGATTTAGGCATATCAAGTTGATTAATGGAGAAATATTTGCAACAATTGGTTAAAAGACAAAATAAAAAGAAAAGGTTGCCACTAACACATAAGCCTGTGAACAAATTGTTTAAACCTAATCATTGTATGCTTTTCCTTTTTCTATAAGTAATGTCGTTTCATGGATAATGGATAATTAATGGGAAAACAAAAATATAGGGTATGTACCTTATGAGATATTTTCTGGAAGCTTTTTACAAATTACATATGCAAGTTGTCACCACGTGCTATCAGAATGTAAAGACTTATTAAACGACCTAGCTCCTGTACAAGTAAGACCGCAACAAGTACAAGCATGCATAGCG